GGACACACCTGGGTCACTTTGGGACACACCTGGACACACCTGGGTCACTTTAGAACACACCTGGGTACACCTGGGTCACTTTGGGACCCACCTGGGCACACCTGGGTCACATTTGGGCACACCTGGGCACATCTGGGTCACTTTGGGACACACCTGGGACACACCTGGGTCACACCTCGGTCACTTTAGAACACACCTGGGTACACCTGGGTGACTTTGGGACACACCTGGGCTCACCTGGGTCACTTTGGAACAGACCTGGACGCACCTGGGTCACCTTGGGACCCACCTGGGCACACCTGGGTCACACTAGGACACACCTGGATCACTTTAGGACACACCTGGGACAACTTGGGACACACCTGGGACACACCTGGGTCACACCTGGATCACTTTAGGACACACCTGGGTCACAATAGACCACACTGGGACACACCTGTGACCTTTTGGGTCACACCTGAGGCTCACCTGAGGCTCACCTGTCCCGCCAGGTGCTGCGGCCGTTCCTGCTGCGCCGGCTCAAGGTGGACGTGGAGAAGCAGATGCCCAAGAAGTACGAGCACGTGCTCAGGTGTCGCCTGTCCAAGCGCCAGAGGTTCCTCTACGACGACTTCATGGGCCAGGCCAGGTGAGGGCGGCACACCTGGGCACACCTGGGCACACCTGGGAGCCCCAAATTCCCGAAATTCCCATTAAATTGTGACTAAATTTCATCAAATTCCACCCAAATTCCACCCAAATTTCATCAAAATTCACCTGTGCGAGGTCTCTGATGATGTCATGGGCCAGGCCAGGTGAGGGCGGCACACCTGGGCACACCTGGGCACACCTGGGCACACCTGGGCACACCTGGGAGGCCCAAATTCCCAAAATTCCCATTAAATTGTGACTAAATTTCATCAAATTCCACCCAAATTCCATCAAAATTCACCTGTTCGTGGTCCTTGATGACGTCATGGGCCAGGCCAGGTGAGGGCGTCACACCTGGGCACACCTGGGCACACCTGGGCACACCTGGGAGCCCCAAATCCCCGAAATTCCCTTGAAATTTCGCTCAAATTCCATCAAATTTTACCCAAATTCCACCCAAATTTCATTAAAATTCACCTGTTTGAGGTCTCTGATGACGTCATGGGCCAGGCCAGGTGAGGGCGGCACACCTGGGCACACCTGGGCACACCTGGGCACACCTG